TGCCATTTAGTCAAAGACAATTATTCATAAAACACAAAACACATCTGGTTATAAACATTAAAGTTTCATTTTCTTTGATATTTCCAGAATGATTAAGGAATTATTTTCAAACCTCATAAAATTTAGCAGAAAAAGCAGACTTATTCCTGTTTACTCCAAAAATCTGACTACTATAATGAATTACAACTTCAAAATGTTATGCCTAAATTTAGCAATGGTCAGACTATGTCCACTTGTTGCTTTGCTTATATTATCTTCCAGTTTAATTAGGTTCCCCCCCTTAGCTGTCTCCACCTGCATATGCATAGACAACACTTACATATATGGTTTCTTCCGCTGGACTACCCAAGACTAGCTCTTCTAGGGGGTTGGAACTAGATGATCTTTAAGGTCCCTTCCAACCCAAACCATTCTATGATTCAACCCATTTCCCCAGTTCAACCCAGGAGCCTGTCCCTACACATTTCGATTTCTTCTCTTTTCTCCTCAAAAAGAGACTATTTCTGAAGCATATGTAATGAAGTTTCACCAGACTCTTGTATAACACCTCCAGTAATTTCCTCTGTCTACTGGAAACATTTTCTGTGATTGTGTCCCAAGAGCACAAATATCTTCTTCAAACTGCACCACACTTTGCTCACTTACTTTGTACCTTCCTCTACTTTGATCCTTTCAATTATTCAGTCTTCAAGCTTATAACTGACATTCTGGCTGTAACATCCTAAAGCACAAGGCTACAAATTTCACCCTGTTTCTATTTTTCCATCCCTCGCAGGGAAAGGAGGCGTTTCAGATCTTCCCCATGTCTGGGCCTATGGCCTACGAAATCCCCCCAAAATTTCTGTGTAACACTTCTTTCTCTCCACCGCAAGAGCATTTTTCAAACTTCATGTCATCAACAAATTCTGTCAGTAAAATGCCTTTACATGTACCTTTGCCATTAAATGAAACAGGAAACATAAGACTGATCTGACAATTGATCCATAGTGATTCCAATAACGAGCTCTCTCTGAGCCGGTTTCCCTCTCCTCTCAGCTAGGTTCTTTACATTAGGCACTTGCACATACTCACAATTTCTCTATTAAATCCTAATTTCTCCCATTTAACCAACAGTTTGCAATACAGCATCACATCAGTTACTATGTACACATTCAGATGATACTATGAAAATGTCTGTGTAGACAGTAAGTTCTTTTCATCAAAAGTCAGCCTGCCACGCTCCAGCTTCCAGAGGCGTGGTATACTGCGCTCTGTTCCACTTTCTCTATACCTCATTATCTTTAATTATCCTTTAAGCTTTAATGCATCTCATTACAACACCAACACACTGCCAAAAATTCGGGAGGTTCAGACTGCGTCACAAGCCATTATTGTACTGGGGAATGGGCCGCCTGCTGAAAAACCAAGCCAAGCAGCACACCCCAAACACTGGGCAGCAGCAGTGCCCGCTGTGGGCACCAACGGTGCGGAGCTTCTTTGCCAGCAGCCCCTCCTGCCTCTCCCTCGAATCTCCCCGCATCCATTTCCTCTAACTGGCTCCTGAGAGCCCTCGCTCAGCTTCCTCCCTCTGGCCAAGCAGTCCCCAGCTCTGATTTTACGCAGGTTATCTAAGGATTTCTTTTCTTTCATCTGTGTGCAGTTTTTCTGTGGTGGTGATTACCTGTTTTGAAGATCATAACACTTTCCTAGGCAGTAGTCATAACACCAAACCATCAGCTCCCTAGAACTGTCTGATTTGGATCCAACAAGGAGATGATTAAAAGCACTTAAAATATTATTAGGGCACAGCATTAATATAGAACTAAAGTTATTCTTCAACGAGCATAACATTAAAGAGACTTTTTTTTTTATTCTTGCTGCTGAGTTTTGAGATTACCAGGCACACTAAAGCGAACAGAGAAAGGAGAGAATATCACAGAGAAATAACCAAAACTAGCTTGGCTTCCTGGAAAGTTTGATTAAGCCATACTTCTGCAGTTAATATACAATGTAAAATCAATATAAGCAACGGGAAGGGGAAAGGGGGGGAATAGTGAAGAATGTTAGTTCCTTCTTTCTCCTCCACCTCCCCAAGATGGATAACTTAATAGCACTGAAGTTTTTTGCTGCTGAAAAGCACTTCTTATAGTCATACCATGAAATATACAAGGCACATCAAGATAAACTAGGGACTTTACAGGATACACTATGAAGTATGTGTAAAATGCAGGAGGAATATTTTCATTTAAAAAAAAGAATATGACTAAATATCAGCAGAAGCCCAAAATAAATCCTTAAATCAGTGAAGCAGATGTTGCATCAAGTGCAAGGAAACAGCTGCTCTAATGAAAGGTTAAAGTATTTTCTTATTTATAGTACAGCACGCCACTGACACATTTAGTTTGCATGTTTGTCTATATATATGCTTATATATATAATATATTATCTCTCTTTTTATATATATATATATATTTCTTAATCTTGGCTTGAAGGAATCTTAGTCTCGAGTTGCACATCACATTGCTTCAAAGGGTTTGAAGCAAAGAATCCCAAAGCTTGCCTTTAGATTTAGAGTCTTATCTCATTCCCCTCAAGAGCACTGGGAAATTTAATGGCTTGCAACTGCTGTACTACTTATTCTGTAAAGCCTGAGAACCCCACTTCCAACAAACTATAGGGGATCTGAAACAAACCTTTCTGGCAAAATGCCATTAATCAAAGTTCATATCTAAAAGGGAAAAAAAAGCATATGTGTACACAAATTTGCTCAAAGGAAAGCGCAGAAAAAGAATCTTGGTTATGTAGAGAAGATTTGACGCAAAAGCAATAAATGTTAAGTTTTCAAGTTATGAAAGGTTCCTTAGTGGTCTTAGCTACTCTGTATCCTCATTCCCATGTTAAAAGTTAGCAAGGAAGTTGTATCTGTATCCCTTGTATGCCTAAAGCCTCTCCTCCTATTCTTGTCAAGAGAGTCTTGGACCCGAGACAGACACTTGCGATTCTCCTGGCCCCGACAAGTTTGCGCTTCCACAGGGGACATAAAAATGATCGTCCTCATTTCTCCTTTCTCCCCCCCAGGCTACCAAAGGGAATTCCAGCCTTTTCTACAGCAAACTGATAAGGATCATATCCTCACACTTCTGCATTATAGCACAAACTGTAACGTTACTGATGAAAGCAGTTAAGAGCAGCCACAGTACCAGAAGTGGGATTAAAGGCAATTTGTGGAGTACATCCCCTCTGCAGGGTTATATAACAGCACATTCTGTTTGTGATCTCAAGCATGCAAACCTCGCCCTCTCTCCCCAACCAGCCGACACCAAGCTCTTCATTACAGCTCCAGTAACCACCCCATCAGTTGCATCACATACACAATAAAGAATTTAAATGTAGA